GCCCACTGCTCCGTGTGTGTGTTCACTGCTGTGTGTGTGCACTTTGGATGGGTTAAATGCAGAGCACCAATTCCAAGTATGGGTCACCATACTTGGCCACATGTCACGTCACTTTCACTTTTTCACTATATATTTTTTTTTGTTATGTCAATCTCTAAAATATTTTATCAGGTAGAAATTGTGAGTAAAACATTTTTTTTTTTAAATCCTTGTCCTTATTCATAATCCTTCAAATTCATAATCACAAAAGGGGGCCTTGGAGTCAAAAAGGATAAGAGGATAAGATGTTGGTACAGAACAACAAAATCAGGAAAAGAAAACATCATTCTCATTATTCTGTATAATCTTTATAATCTTTATCTCCAGATCTGATTCTATGAAATCAGTTAGGGATGCAAGGTGTTTTTGATGTGATTACCAGGATTACCAGTTAATAAAAGAGCTTTTTCCAGCAGAATGGTTTCCCATAATCATAACTATAATCTTTTTCCGTGGCGGAAACAGCCTCACTCCCAAACTCTCTGCAATTTTCACCAATCCTGTCAAAAACATCAAGACAAAAGGAGCTTTATTATCAGTACATGATGCCTTATTGCTTTCCAGCAACAATTCAAAGAGGATAATACTATGGTACTTTGATGCTACTGTTTTATACAGTAAATGTGCATACAAACATGCAATTTGCACCTGAATATTTTTGTATAATTGTATGTTGCTGGCCCTGTAAAGGACATTTCATATTGTATAATTGTGGATTTACATATGAAGAGTTTATTTGCAAAAACAGATAACTCCGTGTTTTGACATTTTCAAAAATCATGTTTTTTATTATGTAATCATGTTTTTATTGTGCTAGTTAGCTGTCATGTTTAGTTATTTTTTAACCTAATCGAAAATAACCCAACTGCAGTTTGATTGAGATTAACTGGAATGCACAATGAAAAAACATGATTTTTGAGAATTGTTAAAAATGGAGTTATCTGCTTTTGCAAATGAACTCTTCATATACTGTACTATACCTGCTGTATATATTCTGTACTGACCCATAGACTACAGTAGGGTGACATGCAGAGACAACTGGTCAACATAACCGTGTCTCAAATCACTGTGAGCTGCCTACATAGTAATGTTGCCATATCATATGAAGTCTAAAACTGTCTAGGTCAGTGTTTCTCAACCAGGGATCCGTGGACCCCTAGTGGTCCTTGACTATTTTGACATGACATGTTCCCATGAAAGAAAAATCCAATATAGTTGATAATATGGCCAAATACTGGACAAGTCAGCTAACTTGAATTATACTTAACTGCATTTGGTCCTCACAAAGACACAAATGATACATAGATGAGTCGATTTTGTTTTGGGGGTCCTTGGGGATGGTTCTGAATTGGACTGGGGTCCGGTACGCCAAAAGGTTGAGAGTCACTGGTCTAGGTAATTTAAGTTTTTTTAGACACAGTAAATAACACAACTTACGCATGAGTGACTAGTGTAAATATAACTAACAGCATCGTTATATATGTCGGACGTTTGATAATTGAACTTTCAAGCTGATTTGTAACGTTACCATACAATGTTTCATAATGTTTTAGATCACAAACGCACAAATAGCAACGTGTTTTTATTTACCGTTGTCGTTGTCGATATATAAAGTGTGGCATTCTTTCAGTATTCTTTCATTCGAAGATGTAATGGTCGATTCCAGCGGGTTTGCAACAGCTCGCGGCTTCTTACAGCCTGACATGTTGAAAGTCTGGAGGACTGATTTTCACCGGCACCAAAAGCTGGGGAACCAAAACAGTGTCGCACACAGGTAGAGACGTCAGAAATGTAAAGCTTTGGCGCTCTCTAGTGGAGGTGAAAGTTGAAACGTTCCAACAGGGAATGGAACGCCTTCATATGAACAGACTTGACGCGTTAGCTAATGCTAAATATTATTAGTAATAAAAACAATTAGCATAACATAACAAAACATAACATATAACATAACAATATAATATAAAAGGAAAACAATAAATACTAGATACTTTTTATCCATTAGTGTGGAAACAGTTGCCTTTGGCTTCTCACATACGAAAAAACAAATGGACAAATTATGTACAAATATCATTATAAATCTAAAATAATTGTTTGTATTATTATTTTTTATTATTTAAAACGTATTTAAATTATTACAAATATTAGCCACAATAAAATACAATCATTCATATGTTTGTTTATTACTGTGTTTACATTAACTATTACTGAAGTTACATTTTGCACATGTGTACCATATTTTAATGCATTAAACTACACTCTAAAAAATGCTGGGTTAAACATAACCCAGCGCTGGGTTAAAAAGGGACAAACCCAGCTATTGGGTTGTTTTGACCAAGCGGTTGGGTTGTTTTGACCCAGCAGCTGGGTTGTTTTGATCCAACTGCTGGGTCAAAACAACCCAATAGCTGGGTTTGCCCCTTTTTAACCCAGCGCTGGGTTATATTTAACCCAGCATTTTTTAGAGTGTACTTGATATACGTAGTATTTATTTATTTATTAATTCATTCATTCCAATAAAAAAATAAATAAACATCAAGATCAGTAGGTTTATGTACAGATGTGTGCATTTATGTACTGTTTATGCAACTGTAAGTAAAAAAAAGGGTAACACTTTACTTGAAGGGGTGTGCATAAGACTGACATGACACCTTCATAATCATGACATGACACATGTCA